AGGAGTAGGAGCTGAGATAGTCAGAACGCTGTTAGGACAGCCTGGGCCTCAGATAAAGAGGCTCAGACTGAGGTGGAGGTGTAGACCCCGGGAGGGTGTGTTGGAGGTGGAGGCTGCCGGAGGAGTCAAGGCCGACAGCCAGGTTTGTGTTCTGAGCACCCGGTGAACGAGGAGCCCCTTGGGAACCGCGAGGTGGGTGGGGGACAAGGAGGTGGCTTTACCTCGGTGGGGGCCCGTCCTCCCTGAGTCGGCGGCCGGTGGGGGTGGAGCTCGGCGGTGCAGAGATGATGTTTAACACCGTGGGATCCGATGGCCTCTCCTGGAGAGGGTGTTCAGATTCATGATTTGGCTGGATGCCGTGCGGCCGAGAGTTCATAGGTATTTGGCTGAGCCAAGGATCCCCATCTTAGAATGACTTCTGCGGTCCAAGAATAAATCTGAAATGTTATCGGGATTGTTAATAATGATCACAAGTTTATTATTAAAGATGTTGGGGGTGGGAGTTGCCTGGCTGGCTCAGCTGGTTAGTTAAACATCTGCCTCTTGATCTCAGCTCAGGTCACCGTCTCACAGTGGTTTGTGAGTTCAAGCCCTGCGTTGGGCTCTGTGCTGACAGGGCAGAGCCTGCTTGATGCTCTGTCTCTCTCTCTGCCCCTCCCTTGTGTGCACACTCTCCCTATTTATGAAAGAATAAGTAAACGTTTAAGAAATGTTTAAACATTGAATGGTCAGGTTGAGTCATTGTATTTTACACCTGAAACTAATATAATGCTGTATGCAAATTGTACGTGAATAGCAAACAATGTCAGGATTTTGAAGTTTTATTTATTTTCATTTATTTAAAAAATGTTTATTTTTGAGAGAGAGAGAGGAGTGCGCCTACATGTGTGCATGAGTGGGTGAGAGGCAGAGAGAGAGAGAGCAGGCTTCCACACAGAGCCCCACGTGGGGCTCGAACCCGTGAACCACGAGATCATGACCTGAGCAGAAGCCAAGAGTTGGATGCTTAACTGCCTGAAACACCCAGGTGCCCCAGAATTTTAATGGTTTGGATCGTCGTGTTGATAGGGTCATTCTCAGGGTCACCCTCAGCACTGTCCGGGACTGCATTGTCCTCGGGGTCACTAAACTAGAAATATGTGATGGCAGACTCTCCTTTTCAATAGAGAAGGGGCGGGAGCCCACGGACCTTAGGCTGACACCGGGTGCGAGCAGCCTTCCGACGTGTCACCAGCTGCCCTCCTCATCCGTGGCAAAGACCTAGCTCCCCTTTGTCTCTTGGACCCAAAGAATTGGCTGTGGGTGATGCTGTTATTGACACAGTGCCCTGACCTGGGGGAGATGCCTCCTAGCGTTTTCAGAAGCAGACTCAAGAGTATTATACTCCCTTAGATTTTTTCTTTCTCGTTCTTTTGCACGTATCTGTGGCTTCATTCTCCCAATTGCTCAAAAAACGTCGTGTCCTAAGCCTTCGTGTCAGCAGGGTGGCCGTGGTACCCTGTGTCCGGATCCCAGGACAGGCTGTGAATTTGCATCCACATTTCAGCCTTGGCTGCTCACGAAGGATGCTGGTGCCTCCCTGGTGGTGAGTGACGGGGCGTCTGTAGAGCAGGTGTCTGGTAAGGGTTCTCGCCCCGCAAGGCATGTCCTTTGGGTCCCCGTCTTCCGGTGGCCCCAGCACGTGCAGCCCTGGGTCTGGAGCCGCTGTGGGACCGCCTGCTACATCGGTGACCTCCTACAGACCGCCTGCTACGTAGGTGACCGCCTACAGACTGACGTGAGGCTCACTCTGGCTCCGGCAGCCTTTTTTATCATGGAGCAGACGCCCTCCCTTCCCATTGGAAGATTTTCTCTCCCGCATGTCAAGCAGATGGTTTGACACGCTCCTCTGAGGAAAAGAACAAAGGGAGAGAATATTCAGATATTAACAGGAAATCAGCGTGTCTCGCCCGGTTGTATCGCTGATGACGTCACCCGTGGGATCACGTGGCCCCTGAGCCCGGGACACCAGGAGTCTTATCGGGAGTGTAGACGAGACATTCGGCTCCCTGTCCAAGGGCAGAAGCCAAAGCCAGGAGGAGTTTGTGGCTGAGTGCCAAGGCCAAAGCTGACTTCTGTGCGTCTAGAGAGAGGAGAGGTCAGAGGCCTGGGCCCTGGGCAGTCGGGAAGGGGTCGGGAAGCGGAGGGGCCCGGAGAGGGGTCTGAAGGGTCCAGCCATGAGGGCGGAGGCACCAGGCAGGCGCCGTGTTCGGGAGGGAGGGGTAGAGGAGAAGGTGATTCGAGGAGGCGGGAGTGGCTGTGAGGACACAGACTGGGTTGGGCCTCGTGAGATCACCAAGTGCAAGTCATTGGCAGGACCCCAGACGTGTCCCTCTTCTTGGGAACAGACTCTGAGGCAGCTGCTGACCCTGCCAGGTGGCAGGTTTTGGTGGATGTGACTCTTCTGCGGGTGGACCTTCTGTGGGCAGAGGGAGGGTGCCCACGCTGGGGACCCGGGGGCTCCCCGGCTGGCTCCTGTCCTGCTTCTAACTCCGGGCACTCCCTTCTCCTTGCAAGAGGCAGGCCCTTCCGGCGTAAGGAGTGTCCACGGCCCCGCGTTCAGCATCACCCCCGTTTGCCTGTCGCATCCGAGAATCCGCCCTCCCCTTCCTCCATCCCTTTCTGTGCTCTGAAGGCAGGTCCTGGCCACCGCACAGCCCTGAGCCGCCCCCGCAGCCCGTCCGTAGGCAGAGTGATGCCTGGAAATGCCGGCAGCCAGATGTTTTATTCTCTCCCACGGGGCAGAGCCCTCCAGGACAGCCGCAGACAGCACCCAGGCGTAGCCAGCCTCCTCGGGTCCTGTCTTGGGCTGAATTGTGTCCCCCAGAATCCATAAGTTGAAGTCCTAACCCCCAGGTCCTCGAATGGAGACTGGGTCTTTCTAGAGGTCGTTAAGTTAAAATGAGGTCCTTGGGGGTAGACCCTAAACCCGTATGGCTGGTGTCCCTTTAAGCAGATCGGGACAAGGACACATGGTGGGGGCGGGAGGGGGGAAAACCCATGTGAGGACACAGCGAGAAGCGGCCCGTCTGCAGGCTAAGGAGAGAGGCCTCAGGAGAAGCCAGCTCTGTCCACCCTCTGATCTCAGACTTTCATCCTCCAGGATCTCGAGCACGGACACTTTCACTGCTTAAGTCCCGGGTCCGTGGTGTTCTGGAACTGCAGCCCTAACGAGCTAGCACAGGTCCCTTCCCGTCTCCATCACTCCTCCCCACCCCCCCACCCCCCCACCCCCGCCCGGGTACCACGGCCGTGTTCAGTCTGCAGG